AAGTGAAGTGCCGGCATTATTGACTCCAGCTGTAACGCAACTTACTTGGTTCAAACAAACATTCTAGTGCCACCGCACAAACGTGACGACTGTGCAAAAATAACTAAATAAAAGACACCACTGTTACAGAAAGACTTTACACGCTATTTACACTGCCGATCGCGAACGGAACGAACCGTGATTGAAACTAACTGTGATGCCGCTCTTTATACGTTGCTCTGTCACCAGGAAGTGGCAGACACGCCCCTCTTTAAGTGCCAGATAAATCCATCAATATGGGTTTCGTGGATGGATTGTGTGATGCCGCTCTTTATACGTTGCTCTGTCACCAGTCAGTGGCAGACACGCCCCTCTTTAAGCGCCAGATAAATCCATCAATATGGGTTTCGTGGATAGATTTATTTGACTTTTTTGATTTTTGCGGTCCTTGGACCCACTTTATACTTGTGGACGAGGGATTAGAGGCTCTAATCCCTCGCTGTGTCCGAAGACCAGCAACCCAAGGCCAAGGCCAAGAACTTGACTCCCAAGGCCAAGGACTTGACCTTGGCCTTGGGACACACATGCACTGTACTTGTTTTTCTGAAAAAAAGAAACATCCCCCGTAGAGTAGACAAAAATTGCCACACACACATTCTACAATTCTTGTTGACTTTGTTTTAATTGCAGGCGGCGGGTGCCCAAAGAGGTGGCCCCAGCTGAAATCCCCACGCAATATATGGGAATGGATGACTATGCAGATGAAGATGAGGTAATAATAAATGTTTTCCAAAACAAATTTGTTCCCTTCTATTCAGCTCCACTTGCAAATCTCTCCTCCCTGAATCAAATCGATTAGAAAGAAAATTATAAATGGCCAACTTCGATTTGAGTTTTGAGTAGGGGATCCTGAGACTTTTTTGAAGTCTTGGGCTGTTACATGTGCTTCCAGCTTTTGGTAGATCCTGGTGAAGTATTCAACCGGCGCTGTTTCAATAAAAATGTGTAGAGGTCGCAACTAAGCCTTTTGTTTTTTTCAACCACAAAATAAACTTCAAAAATAGTCATTAATTGGTCAAACGTGATGTGTGTGCCAAGTATGGTATGTTTTCAAGAATGTTAATACCATAAAATTTGGGGGGCAAACACTGCATCCCCAAGGCAACAGCATTTGGCAAAATATGAGGGTAAGTCAAAAATTATCCGCACTTTATGCTACAGCGTGCGCTTGTGTTGAAGTTCGATGCAATTTTGCCTGCATGTGAGAACTTGTGTGTCACGTGATCACAATCAGCTGATATTTTTGTTTGATCGATTGTTACACGTGTTTCTTTCAGTCGATAAAAATGGCCGCTTCACCACTCCACATGCACCAGTGGAGAACAACGTGCAGTGTGATCCGATTTCTATGGTCAGAAGGTGTGTCTGGGTGAGAAGGGGTAGAGAGGGCTATCAGTTTAATTAAAATTAAACATGGAAGGAATTGAGTTGGTCGTTCTCCTCTTCTGCCCACGGGGCAGGATGTCCACAATTTCCCAAAACAATTTGAAATGTGTTTCCTCCTCACATCGCAGAACATTTCTCCATTTTGCATCAGTACATTTCCGATGAGCTTGTGTTCAGAGAAGCCGGCAGCGTTTCTGGGGTGTTTGCTTTGCATAGTGGAGTTTTAAGATGAATTTACGGATGCAGCGCCGAACTGTATTTTTGGACATTGTCTTTCTGAAGTGTTCCTGAAGCCAATCTGATTATATGCTTTCCACATTGATGTTAGTTTTGGATGCAGTGCTGTCTGCATTCACTGTTGATTTTCACCCTTGGCATGCAGTGGTCTCCAGATTCTCTCAACCTTATGATGATGTTCTGGACTGTAGATGATGAAATCCCTAAATTGCGTAGATCAGGGGTGTCCAACCTTTTTTGACTTAAGATGTACTTTTCAATCAACCAACCTCCCGCGATTGACCCATTGCCGCACACGTGCGCATACGCACACACATGAACACGCAGGCCATAATGAGCAACAGCCATAATGGCACCTAAGATGAAAGAAACAGAAAAGTAAAGTAGACACAAGAGAAAATCACTGCCTACGCTTTGTCGAGACCTGGGCTTGGGACGCACTTTTGCGGCGCGTTAACGATCGTAGCTCACGTGTACCATTTTAAAATGCTTCTCCTGGCACTCCAGATTGCCATTCTTTACCAGTGTCCTCGGTGAATTGTTAATGAAACGAACTTCGATTGATAATAGTAATAAAAGCTATTGCACAACAGCTCTGATTGCGAGCTGCAATTCCAGACTGCTGACCTCTAACAACATCCGGTGAAGCAGGTCACGCGCCACCTTAGGTTAAAGTTGACCGGCTTTTTTATTTATTTTATTTTTATTTTTTGAATACTTTTGTGAGAGTCAGACTAGTAGGATGCTTAAGTGTGCAGTGTGCAATAACACATAAATATGTCATATTTATAATGCACACAGACACACAAATGCTCTAGATTGTTTGTTCTTCTTCCCCTCTACGCCCCTCGCGATTGACTTGGGACCAGTCCCCAAGCTACCGGTCGATCGTGAGCTACTGGTCGATCGCGATCGACGTATTGTGCACCTCTGGCGTAGATGGTGAAATCCCTAAGTCCCTTGAAATTTTACATTGAGCAGCATTGTCCTCCAACTCTTTGACTATTTTCTCATGCAGTTGTTTACCAAGAGGTGAACCTCACCCCATCTTTGTGAATGATCGAGCAATTCAGGGAAGCTCCTTTTATACAAAATCATGGCACCCTCCTTTTCCCAGTTAGCCTCTTCACCTGTGGGTCATTCCAAGTAGGTGTTTGATTAGCATTCCTCACCTTTCTCAGTGTTTCTGGCCCCCTGTCTGCTGATTTCCAGAAAACAATAACGGGTCGCAGTTTGAACATAAAACATCTTGTCTTTGTAGCGATTCAATTAAATATAAGTTCAACATGATTCTTGCAAATCATTGTATTCTCTTTTTAGTTATGTTTAACACATTTCATTGAAACTGGGTTTGTAAATCATTGTATTGACTTCTTAGCATACAACGTTGAGTACTAGCATGATACTGGCACATTGTAATTGACATTTTTGGGAAAATGAAATACATCTAATTAAATGCTAGTTTGATAAAATATGACCGCAATAAAGGGCCAAAAATTGGGCAGAAAAGGAAATTAGATATGCCCATCTTCCTTTTGAGTTTAGAGTAGGGCTCCAGAGATTTTTTTGCAGGGCTTGGGCTTTTGTTTGTGCCTCCAACTTTTGGTAGATCTTGGTGAAATGGTCACCGGGGCTGTTTTGTTCAAGATTTGTAGGGAGCGCAACTAAGCCATTTCTATTTTAGCTGCAGAATGAACTCTTGGTCCCTAATAAATTCGAGAGAAACAAAAAAGACCTTGCAGCAAATGCTGCTTGGCCCATCATAATAATGATCGTCATCATCATCATCAGAAAAACAGTAGGGACCTCACAGTGTTCACTAATCCTCATTATCTATATTCCTTGTTACGGTTTAGCTTCATTCTAGTTTGTCTTCGTCAGGGGTTATCTTCATTACCGAAGCACAATTATTGTTTGTTTCTTGTAGGTATGGCTGGTGTGGACTGACAAGACCAATGAGAAGCAGGAGAAGAGCATAAGGCAGCTCGCTCAGGAGGCTCGACAAGGCAATGCCCATGACGAGAACGTACTTACCTACTACAGGTCAGCCGTTATGTCTCTAAAAGAACAGTGTTCGACAAATATTGTTCTTGGTGTCTCCAGCAATCAGTGTTTGTTATTTTTCAAACGCGCAAATACTTTCACTAATGTCAAATTAACACAGAGTGTTCTTGATGTCCCAAGCAAATCCATCATGTTATTCCTCTGAAGAACAATAATAATCCAGTCTCAAATCAGGTTTATTAACACAAAAATAACGAATGATTAGATTTTACCACCTCACAAGCAGGAGGCACTTTAAAATAACTGAGTTGAATAAATAAGATGATGTCAGAACAATAAAGGCTTGAAATTAAACAAGCAGCTGTGAAAAGCCTTCAGAGGCCGGGCCACTGTGAGCTGTTGGCACGTTGGTGTAATTGCATTGAACAAAATGTATACCTGGATGGATGATCTCTGAACTGCAGGTCACGTTGTCACGTTTGCGAGGTGGTGGTGGACCCCAAAAAGCAGGCAGGAGAGAGGAGCAGGGTGTACTTGACAGATTGTATTAAAACATAGAGAAAACTAAATCCTAAAAAACAAAGTCCTGAAAACAAAAAGAATCCAAAGTAGCAAACAAAACCCATGACTTAAGCAAAACACTATCAATAACTAGTGATGTGCCCGACTGTGCCGAGGCTCCGATGCCTGTGCCGAGTAAACCGGAAGAAAATCTGCGAAGCGCGCATTGAGGCATGTGTCGATTACGCTTGTGGCCACGCCCGATGCCTCGGAACGCACGTTGCTCCGCCCGAAGCTTCGCGAGACGGGATTCCTACGTCACCGCCAACAAATAGTTTCGCGGGTGATTCGAAATAAAACGGCGCACCGGGACGACAATGAGCTGACAGGTGACACTGACTAGAGATAAGATCGGGCCGCCCGAGCCCGCTGTTCAGGTCTGGCTTCTCTCTCGCTGACTTTTTTTTTTGTTCGTTACGAGGCCGTGAATAGTTTTGGCCACGAGAAGACCGGGGTTCGCCAAAAAAACAGAAGTGGCCTCATCACAACATGTACTGTACGAAACACTCGCAATGACAATTCAAAGAACTCCTTCATGTCTCTATGATCCAGCCGTCATTGTTCTTTGTCTCGCTGCTTATCTTCAAGTGCCGCACTCGATTTTTAAAGACGTACTGCTGCTGTGGTGAATGGCCCAATTTTCAACCCGGCAAAATGACGGACGGCCTTAAATTTTCCCCGTCCAGGGCCGGGTTGGGCTTAAATACCAGCAGGCCGGGTCGGGCTGGATTTTTTTGGCCCAATTTTACCTCTACATCAAATCCATGGTATCATTTTAATCACTGTCTGTCATGACATTTATTTTCCACATGATGGCGCAGTAGCACAAATAAAGCCTCATGATGCTTCGGCCCAGGAACGAACCAATTGGATGTAAAGCCTCATTGCTTCATGAGGCTTCATTTTCCCATCACTATCAATAACATAAAACATGACCAAAAGCATGACAAACATACATGGCAGCAACAAACAACCATGACAGTAGCCAACAGCAACAATGACCCGACAATGAGTGTTCGGGCGGCAGTCCCTTTACATAACTAATTACCTAACGACCAACAGGTGTGCAGCTGCAGGGAGAGCCCTGCAGTGCCACCTCTTGGTCCCAAACCGAATCATGACACACGTAGGTCACCCGTTCTTTAATTGTTGGAAGGAAACCAGAGTGTCTTTGACAAGCGAGATGGGGTAAATTACCTTCTATCCGAAACACTCACTTTTGGGTACAGATGGGGTCATAACATGTATTATTCATTCTCATGATGGAGGAATTTGTGTTTTTTTTCGTTGTTTTTGTCTTTTGTTTTGTCATATGGTGGTGTTGTTACTTTGTGTGGACCTGATGTGGATTGTTTTCAGCATTTTTGGCCATGACATTTGTCAAAGAAGAAGAATCTGTGCTTAGTGGTTGCGTCTTCTTGGCAGCACGCGTGTACCAGCCTTGATTTTGATTGGGAGGAATGTCGGCACCATTTGACTGTCGTTTTTGGACAGACCCGGGACGATTGTGTGTTGCACCTGCATGGGCAGCATTTTTCACAGCCCCGCTTTGTTCAGTGGAAAGGTCGGTGCTGTTGGACAGTCTGCAGCTGGATGGATGCATGGCATGAGGAGCCGGCGATGAGAAGAAAGGAGCGACAGCGCAGAGCACCAATGCGTATGTGGAACTGGGAGTCGCGCTCGGAGTTGAAGCGGATTTACATGGGACAGGACATGAGAGCCAATCTCTTTTCCGTCAATGGACGCTACAGCTTTTTGTTGCTTTCAAACTTAGCTTGTAGCAGACGTGTGCACATTTTCAGCATGACATCTTTGATCCACTGGTGAAAAGGACACTTTGATTCGCTCCTCTTTCATCTATAACTGCTTCAGACAACAAAGTATATGCAGGAAAAGCGGTTAAGATTGCGTGACTGTCTGTGTCTTAAGTGTTGTGTGGTATTATTTTGTCATTTCATGTTAACTGTTCTATTGATGGCGGCGCGGGCACCCGCAGCGGCTCCTCTTGTTGTCTTGTTGTCTGGTTGAGAGGGAAGACATTTCATCTGTGTTGTATGTTGCACATACAGCGCATTTGACAATAACGTTGTACTTGACTTGATATGCCAATAAATAACTTGCACAACAAAGAGTAACATGTACAACTGTGTAAATGTACTTACAGATTGTGCCTGAACTTGTCAAAAGAAAGAGGATGGAAGTGGATGTGATACTACTACTATAAGGACGAGGGGCACTTTACTGTACTGTAATGCAATTTTGGGTGGTTTTAACTACTTCCACCACTAGGGGCACTGCGCTACATTGTAATACAATCACTGGGGGAAGAATACAGTGGGATCCTTTTATAATCAAATTTTTTATTGACACACTCACACTGTCACCAGTGAGTGCTTTCTCATTTGTCAAGTCAAGTCAAGTACAACTTTATTGTCAAATGTGCTGTATGTGCAACATGCAGCACAGATGCAATTTCTTCCCTCTCAAGACAACATGCAACAAGAGGAGCCGCGGCGGGTGCCCGCGCCGCCATCAGTTTGTATAGCTAAAGCGAGAAGAAAAGCACCGATCTTTCTGGTCCTGTATCTCAACCGCTTCCAATAACACTCCCTTTGTCGTAGAAAGGGTTCCGTCAGTCGTCATCTGTACCTGTGGGTAAAAAACAAAAACAAAAAAGGACGTTTCGCTTCTCTCACAGAAGCTTCGTCAGCGGTAGACAACTCTGAAGTCTCCGTGAAGACTCCGGGAAATTGCTCTGCGCTAAAAAGCTGAGCGTGGCCTATTTGAGGACTGGGTGGGGTGGTTAGTCACGCCCCTATGGTGAAGAGGCCCATTGATTTCTAAATTCCCTATCGTTGGGTCTTGATTAGGCCTATTGTTTGGGCTAGGGCTGAATAGCTACTTCCAGTTAGCCTGATCAGCATGTCTATGTCCCTTGGTGGTCAACAAGTTATTGTAAATAGGAGACAGGTTAAATCTGATACCTCCTTCACGGTTCAGAGAGGGTGAAAATTTTTTAACAAAAATCGCTTCCTTTACTGCCCTTTCAAACCATCTCTTTTCTGTTCCTAGGATTTTTACTTGTTCATCTTCAATTGTGTGGTTTGTTTCTTTTAAATGTGCGTTTACTGCACTTTTGTTATCATTGTTTTTCCATTTGTGTTGATAAAGTCTTTTCTAACTTGTTGACCACCAAGGGACATAGACATGCTGATCAGGCTAACTGAAAGTAGCTATTCAGCCCGAGCCCAAACAATAGGCCTAATCAAGACCCAACGATAGGGAATTTAGAAATCAATGGGCCTCTTCACCATAGGGGCGTGACTAACCATCCCCACCCAGTCCTCAAATAGGCCACGCTCAGCTTTTTAGCGCAGAGCAATTTCCCGGAGTCTTCACGGAGACTTCAGAGTTGTCTACCGCTGACGAAGCTCTGTGAGAGAAGTGAAACGTCCTTTTTTGTTTTTGTTTTTTACCCACAGGTACAGATGACGACTGACGGAACCCTTTCTACGATGGAACTTTCCTGTACGACTGAGAGCCTCCACAAACACTCCCTTTGGCAGTTTACCCTTTCTTCAGGGCCATTATGATTGTTTAGCGCTTTATGTGCCATATTTTCTGCACTATAAGGCACACTTAAAAGCATTCAACTTTCTTAAAAACCAACAGCATGCCTTATCATCCGATGTGCCTTATATATGGTGTTGCAGTCTCTTCATGGAGTCACGTCTCGTCTCTGTACAGCTTGCCACATTTACGTTTACAACAAAAACTAGTTTTTGTCTTTGGTTTTGTTGGGGGCAAAGTGGCCTTCTTTCCTCCGCGTGTTTGTTGAATTTCGGACGAGCAGGATGTTGGTTATCCAAATACAGGCTGGAGTGGATGAACAGTACCTTCGAAGGCTTTATTTGCAGAATATTCCGGGCACCCGTGGTTTACAGACAATGGCTGCAGTGCAAAGAAGGAAGGGATTCACAATATATTTATATCATCAGCGGCACCAAAACCCATGGTGAGGCATCAGGACTTTCGTTTCTCCTAAACTGATTCTTAGCTTGTGTCAACTGGTGCATTCCTATGTCTGTGCATCGCTACAAGGTCTCCAGTAGGGAGTGTTCCAATTTTAAGTGATGATAGCTTCAAGGATGCCAAGTTACGCTGCGGGCATGGGAAAGCTATACAGAATGACTAAATATGGGCAGAATACACACTTCAGTTTCTTTCTATACACCAGTGGTTCTTAACCTTTTTAGAGGTACCGAACTCAACCAATTCATATGCACATTCCATGAACACTTAATTAGTGAAAAACAAAAATATGAGTTTTTACAAATACAAGACAAAAAAATGCATTTATTTAAAAAAAAGAAAAAAAGTAAATACAATTTCAAGACATAAGTATAATTTTTAAAAATTATACGACGTACTATCACGACAGTCACACATTGATGACTGAGCAAACTAAATTTCCTGCAGCACTGATTGGACAAGCAATGTCATGTGATCATCTGCAGCCAGAGATAGCCTTACGGGTGTCCTAACTAATTGACATGTTGAGTCGGGTGTGTCTTAACCTCCATGGCAGAGGCTCCGTCGAACCCCTGAGACCGATTCACCGAACCCCGAGGGTTCCATCGCACCCAGGTTAAGAATCACTGCTATATACAGTATTGTATTGTATAATAATTGTAAAAAATAAAGCTGACTGCAACTGAAGAACTTAGAATCTCGAATTCTAAGTTCTTGGTGAAATTAAAATAATGTACCTTCCTACATGATAGTGAAATGACAATAAGAATGTATGTTATTTGCTAAAAACTCCACATTTATTTAGGTTATTGTTCTCCCTGCTGTTATATTTTTGGGTTGCCTTGAGTGGCAGAAAGTGGTTAATGTTGATTCGGCATTACGTCAGTTGGAGGAAAGAGATGAAAGCGTGATGTGCATATGGCAAGAGCTTTGATTTCTTCTAATTACTCCTAAATTCCTGTTTAGAAGGCGAAACGGTATGTGGCTATGACTAATGTGTGTTTTATGGAGTTGAGATGCTTGTGGGTATGTTGTATATTGTGCAATTGTATATTTTCGTCATCATTTTCCACCAAAACAATAGTGTTCCTCAGTGATGGACGTGTGGACACGAAAGGCTGTTGAACATTGGCCAAATCGTTAAGTCTTCCAAAACTAGGAAGAAAACCATTCGGAGCAGTGACACTATTTTATGGATTTCGCCTTTCGCAGGTTCTTAATCCCTGTGATAAATGAGGGTTCGCTGTACATGCAAAAAATTTAAAAGTGAAATTTACACCATATATAAGAAAACCTGATTCTCAAAATAATATGAATTTATTAATGAAAATGTACTGCTTGTCATTTTGAAAATACATGAGTATTTAGAATGTCGCGCAGCATCATTTTGTTCTTTTACTTTGGCCTTCATACTTCTTTGTAGTACTGCTTATGGATTGTGGCATGAATGTTGACATTATCCTTCTGAAAGTGTGATATGTTATCTGCTCAGGTACCAGCTGAAGCTTTTTGCCAGAATGTGTTTGGACCGCCAGTACTTGGCCATTGACGAAATCTCCAAGCAGCTGGATGTGGAGCTCATCTTTCTGTGCATGATGGATGAGACTCTGCCCTTCGATCTGCGAGCGTCCTTCTGTCGCCTGATGCTGCATGCTCACGTGGACCGCGACCCACAAGAACTGGTCACGCCTGTTAAGTTTGCCCGACTTTGGACCGAAATCCCCACCTCCATCACTATCAAGGAGTAAGTCGTCATGGGAGTTTGCAGTTTTTAGCCTCACTTAGCCATCTCTTACACACACACACACACACACACACACACACACACACACACACACACACACACACACACACACACACACACACACAGAAAGTAGTTCAGTTTCAGCCAAGTAGCAGCACCAGTAAGAATAAGAAAGCTTTATCGCTGTAAACAAGACAACCTTCATTAGCCACGGCTGCTTTGTCTGTTGCGTGACTTAAATGCGTAAAGGCTGAGGCCTTCCGGTCCTCAAGGGCCGCTGTCTTGCCTGTTTTAGATGTGTCAAATACAGTAAATATTCTCTAGTGCGGACTCGTGTTGGCGCTGTCCAATTTGTCCTGATAACAGAAATTCCTCATTTGGGAAATGAGCATGGTACATGTCCTTTATGAACCTGCAAGTATGTTGACAAAAATGCACGTGTAACAACACAATCAATAAAATACAAAAATATACTGTCCAAAAACTTTATATAACAAAAACTGCAATACAGGTGTATCCAAAAAAAAATCACAACAGTAAATAACGTACAGTATTTTAATGTTTATTTTTTTTCTGTCTTGGGAAAAAAAGTGTGTCTATTTTGGATTGTTTGGTTGGATGCATTCTTTGGTTTATGACAATGTTTGCCTGCGTGTCATACAGTTTTGTTGCTAGTTGCAAGTAACTGTCCCGTTGATCACCGATGTCTGGTAAGTCTTGTGCATACTGATGGATTTGTTGCCATTTGCATTGCTTCCTCGCTGGATGGTGGCTTGTCATCAGGAGTTGAATCGATGCCTTGTTTTTTAAAGTTTCGTAGATTTGCGTCTTTCCGACTCCAAGTGTCTGCTGGATGCTTTTAACTTTGTGTCCAGCCTTGCTCAAATGGATGCATTTCACTCGCTCCGCTCCAGTCATTACAGTTTTTCTACGTTTCGATGCCATGATCTACACGACGTAAGTGAATAAAGTTAAAATCTTTCGCAATTGCAGTCAAACGCACGCCAATAAAAACTCACTTACACGTCGTCGTTTCGAATCTGATGATCGAAAAACGCGAAGTGAAAATGTGTCTAGGTGTCGTCGTACCGTAGCGTTGGGTGGGCGTTGCGTGTATTTAAGCTCCCGCGGCATGACGTCTCAATCCGGGTTACGGGTAGTGGAATTTCCGCTTACGTAAATTCCGGTAACATGTTATATCGTAGTCAAAATGTTAATGCACAGGTTTTTGTTCCGGGTAAAGGAAATTCCTTTTCATAGAATTCCGGGGATGGGAATATTTACTGTATTGACAAGATATGACCGTGTGGGTCCAGTTACAGCAGATTTTCTAGTCCAGGCAGCACCAAAATTAAAAAAAATTTAAAAATGGCGGATACCTTGTTTGGTTTAGCATATGCCTCCTAGAGACTTTTTTTTGTATGTCTTGGGCTGTTACATGTACCACCAAATTTTTGTAGCATTAGGTGAAACGGGCAGTGATCTAGTGATTAGCATGTTGACCTCACAGTGCAGAGGTCGTGAGTTCGATCCCGGCTCCGGCCTTCCTGTGTGGAGTTTGCATGTTCTCCCCGTGCCTGCGTGGGTTTTCTCCAGGTGCTCTGGTTTCCTCCCACATTTCAAAAACATGCATGGCAGGCTGATTGAACACTGTAAATTGTCCCTAGGTGTGAGTGTGAGTGTGAGCATGGATAGTTGTTTGTCTCTGTGTGCCCTGCGATTGGCTGGCAACCGGTTCAAGGTGTCCCCCGCCTACTGCCTGAAGACAGCTGGGACAGGTTACAGCATGCCCCGCGACCCTTGTCAGGATAAAGCGGTTCAGAAAATGGATGCATAGATGGATAGGTGAAACTTAAGACCAGCACTACTTTGTTAAAAATTTCTAAGGGGCATTCCAGAGACAATTTTTTAAAAAAATGCATCATAAACTAACAAATTATTGATTGTTTTGCCATGCTAGATATGTGTGCAAAGTTTCATGTGTTTTTGTGCATGTTTAGACCCTTAAAATTGCCACTATGATATTAAGTCCAAAGATCGCTTCAGGCTTTGACTTTTCTTGAAAAAGCAGCAATGTTTATTGTTACTGTGACTTTGCGGCATGGCATCGGCCAAACCGTTCACCACCAGCATGAGAAACGTCATCAGGCTTTTCTGAGAATTTTCTAGTTAGATCATTCAGCATACATTGAAGTACATTAAAATATAAATATACGTAATTTTTTAAAAATAAAAATGTATTTTGTCATCACTGGGTGGCTCTATATGTATGTATCATAGAGACATCTTCAGGATGCAACTATTTATCTAGATGTGAGGTTTGGGATTTTTCTACAGGCAAATTATAAAGCAATTCGCTGCCCCCATCATATAGTAGTTCGAAAACTCAAGATTTTTTTCCCCTGTTGTCCCATGTCTTAAGATGATGTAGCCACAGTTTAAAATCAATTGGATGAATAGTCTAGGACAGGGGTGCAAAGGTATGACCCCTGTAAATGTGCAAAAATGGGCCAAGATTGGACTTTCAAAATTTCATAGCTCACTTCCTGTTTATTTTTTACTTTGGCCACAATGGACGTTTTTTATATGTCTCAGGGTGCTACACATACATGCCTGCCAATTTTCATTGGACTAGGTCAAATGTACCAGTATAGTTCTTTTTTTCTTTTCCACTCTAGGTGGCGCTGCAGAGACATATTATTATTGTTATTATTTTTATTATTATTATTATTATTAAACATAATCATGACAATTATGACAAAACCAGTAATAATACTACTACTACTACAACTAATAATAATAATTCTTGCAAAAACAATAGGTGATCTCGCTGTGGTCATGCTCGCCCCTTAATATTGTGTTTATGCAAACCAACAGACAAATTGAATTTGGTAATGCAATTACTTTTTTTATGCTTTTTTTTTAACTGATGTAAAAAAAGATGATTAGTGTGACCACTCATCAAAATACCCTCAGTTTTGTGTTTCCACTGCAAAGGAACATGACCCAACACTGTACACTACTCCCTTATAAAGGCTTCTTGATTACGTGTGCCTCATTGTCTTGGCCTCCACTTGCCGGTCTCCTTACCACATCAGTACCGTCTATGACTTTTTTTACACCCAGCAAAAATCATCTAAAGCAGTCATTTACCGTATTTTCTGCTCTAAAAGACGCACCTAAAAGTGTTTACTTTTCTCAAAAACCGACAGTGCGCCTTATAATCCGATGCGCCTTATATATGGATCAATATTCTGATTTCTCGGACGTAGTATTTTAAATGTTCTGTGTAGTGTTTTCTTCCAGCTGCAGTGGTTGTGATAGCTCTATATAAATAAAGCTGTATTGTATTGTATTCCCCCTAGTGTAGCTCCATCTAGTGGATGCACAACACAATGGCAGCCACTATTGTGGATTCTATTCTATGTGCCTTATAATGCAGGGCGCCCGAAATATGAAAACAGTTTTAAAATAGGCCATTCATTCAAGGTGCACCTTATACACTGAAGCGCCTTGTAGTGTGAAAAATAGTGCGGAATATACAGTATTTGTTCTGTCTGTCACTGTAAAACGGTGGCATAGCTAGATGAATACAGATACATGATACATTATAAATAAATAATAATAATTTGTAATTTTCTGACCAATTATGTGATATTTTATAATTTTCTGCGCCAAACCCTAACAGCTTACGTGCCATACTGTGCCCTGGCACACTGGATAGGAATTACTGCACCACAAGACTGTGAAAAAGTCACTTTTACACCATATTTCCCCTTTAACCAAACTGTTGTGTTCCCACCTCAGTTACGACTCAAACATGGATGACAGCAGAGACAACAAGAAGAACCGTTTCGCCAACACCATGGTCTTCATGGAGGAGTATCTCAACAACGTGTTGAACGAGGAGCTGCCCTTTCACAATGAGGAGAAGAACAAGCTGACCTATGAGGTCCGCAGGGACCTCAGGCACCAAGAACGCTTCAGTTTTTGCCTCCTTTTCTGACTTCATTCCTGTTCCCTGTGAAGGTTGTGAGCTTGGCGCGGCATCTCATCTACTTCGGCTTCTACAGCTTCTTTGAGCTGCTGCGACTCACTAGAACACTGCTGGGAATCATCGACTGTGGTCCCAACCCCTCCCATGGCACCTCACTGATCAATGACGAAGGATCAGGTGACCTGCTAGTAAACATCCCGGCCAATCAGAAAAATAGTCTTGTCCCTTCCTATCCAATAGTAGCCTGTACTCTAAAATATATCCAGTCGAACAAGAAAATACCACACCTCAAATGAGCCCCCCCCCCCCACACGGCCTCATTAAAAACACCAGTTATTGCCACTAGGTGTTAGCATAAGTTGCATGAGTCAGGTGGAAAGAGTCTTTTCATAAGTGACCACACTAACCACCATTGTGTGTTTTCCATCTGTGGAAAAAAAGCACAACACTTTATTTTAAAATATTAGGGTGTGTATTTGCACACCCCTCCACCTTTTTCAGGTGGAGGGGTTTGTGCATCTCAGTGATACTCTCCATGTCAGTCACTAGGTACTTTATGAAACCTGTTACTCAATGGGGAAAAAAAATGATCTTAGGTGAGGGACCAGAGAACACACAGACAACCACCCCAAAAAAATGACAAATGGAAAATGTTTCCCTTACCAGGCCCCCATCAGTTCTAAGGCCTGACAGTGAAAGACAATCATGGGCTCACCACTTGTGGTTGGGGAGAAAGGAGGGCGGGTGCTGTGTGAACTGGGCAGTAGTTACACAAGCTGGCTCTTGGGACATGAAACGTAACCTCCCTGGCAGGGAAGGTGGCGAAGCTTGTATAAGATGTCGAGAGACACCGATTAGATGTTGTCTGGCTCACCTTCACACAACAGCTATGGCACTGCAACTAGTTGTCTTGAGATGGGTTGGACATTCTTCCACTCTGGAGTTGTTCCTGAGAAATGTCAAGCGGGTGTGGACTTACTTAATGCCCCACGGCTCTCTGTCTCTATGTTGGGGTTCAGCCCAGTGGAGGTTGCCTCCCTCTACCTTCGGGTGTGGAGATGGGTCCTAATGGTTGTTGGTTACTATGCACCCAACAGTAGTTCAGAGTATGGACCCTTTTTGGATTCCTTTGAGTGGTTGTTGATGAGGATTCTCTCAGTCAACTCCTTCCTTCTTTCCCGGGCAATGACGGTGACACCTGAAATGGTGTGATTCAGAGGAATCCGATCTGAACGTGAGTGGTGCTTGTTCTTGGAGTTTTGTGCTCGTCATGGATCCTCCATAACAAACACCATGCAGGAGTGTTGGCACTTGGCACCAAGGCACCCTTAGCCGCAGTTTAGTGATTTACTTTGTGGTTATTTCATAGGACTTGCTGCTACATGTCTTTGACCGTTGGGTGAAGACCTGGCCAGAGCTGTTAAGTGATCGCATGGTAGGCTCCGATAATAGGAGAGGATGCAGGTCAGGCCAGACACTAATATACAGTGATCCCTCGCTATTTCGCGGTTCGTTTATCACGGCTTCAGTGCATTGTGGATTTTTTCAAACATATTCATAATTTTTTTTTTTTTTTTAAGTCCGCAAAAAGTCCGCAAAAGGTCTGCGAGAAGCAGCGAAAGTCAGCAAAACCACAGCGAGTCACATAGAGCAACATATACAGTACTACATGTGTATGTTTACTGAATTTTGTTATTCATAAACTAACCTAACTTATACATCCTCTTGTTTCTTGTTTTATGTTTAGAGGGAAGCTTGTGGAGGCTCTCAGTCTTACAGGAAAGTTCCATCGTAGAAAGGGTTCCGTCAGTCGTCATCTGTACCTGTGGGTAAAAAACAAAAAACAAAAAAACAAAAAACAAAAAAGGACGTTTCACTTCTCTCACAGAAGAAGAGTTGTCTACCGCTGACGAAGCTTCTGTGAGAGAAGCGAAACGTCCTTTTTTGTTTTTTGTTTTTTTGTTTTGTGTTTTTTACCCACAGGTACAGACGACGACTGACGGAACCCTTTCTACGATGTTTAGAGGGAAGAAATTTCATCTGTGGTGTATGCACATTTGACAATTAAGTTGTATCCAATCCAATCCAATGTTTAAATCTATTAGTATACAGCATTAAGTCATGTTAATTACTTCAAAATTTACTTCTACATGCATGTATACCATTAAATATGGCCTTATAAATATTATGTACATGTTAACCATGATAAACGAGGGATTACTGTGACTTTCGCAGCTTCTCACGGACCATTTGCAGACTTTTTGCGGACTTAAAAAAAAGATATATATATATATTTTTTTAATATGTTTATTGGTCGGCACTTCGTGGATTTTTGTTTATCGCGGGTGGTTGGTCCCCATTAACCGCGATAAACGAGGGATTACTGTATTGTGAGGGACTGCTGGGAGCATCTGTTAAAGTCCCCTGTCAAGAACATCTTATGGAGTCCCCTGTCCCCCAACTCCCACATTCAGCAGAACTTTGACCACATCCCAGCCATATTTTGTGACTCCATTGTTGAGGAGTGGGTTGGTGCCTGTCCCAGCAATAATCGCTGAACTTGTTGGGGAACACTGAAGCTGGGGTATGCTGTTAAGCTGAAAAGGAGTCCTTTCCGACAATCAGAAATCCAAGTGCAATGCATTTTTGGTTGTTAATCAGTCAAAAAAACACAGTAATGGGAGGATTTTGGTGAGGAAATGAATACTCGTCCTCCTGACATCTCAGCAAGGGAATACAACACAGCCTTAACATACTGTGTATGATGATGATGCGGTCAATGTCCACTGCAACTAAAACGTATCTTTATGAATCCTGCAATCCCAAACATTTATTGATCCTTTTCTTGTGAAACATTACAGGAATGTCCCATTGTTGTCACTCTTTTTCCACCTTTAAGGGAAGAATGTGAAACGCTCCATCCATGGCATGGGTCAAATGATGACAACCATGGTCCTCAGTAGGAAGCAGTCCTTATTTGGTGGGGCAGGGGCCCGGGTGGCGGGACTTGTGCTTGATGGACAGCGAATGGCCAAAGACAGCATCGACAAGATAGGCCTGACAGTAATGGACACAAAGCTGAAGATTCTGGAAATTTTGCAGGTCAGTGAGCCTGTAATTGCTGAGTCCATTCACTTGAACAATAGGCAAACAAAACCAAAGATGAAGGTCATTTGAGATCAATCAAAAGTTTTCACAGTCGCCTCCAGCTGGTGTGTTCGAAGATTCACTTCCGAACCCTCCTCTCCACCCGTTTCTTTCATGCAGTCCCCATATTGAACTGTTATTACCATTGGCATTTTGAGCTACTACTTAAGTGTTGTCAAAGTGACTTCCACTATGTCATCTAGAAGAAATATATTTGTTGTTCCTTAATTTAAAAGGAATGACTCCAGTATGTGCCAATATTAATGTCCAATATGTGTTCCGTTATTTCATTACTTTGTGCATTCATTTCATAGCAGAATGGTAAAATTATTTTCAATAGACCAAAACAAGTTGACAACAATTAGAAATGATAATAATGTCAACATGCTTACTTTCTACTCGTTCCCCTAAATCAGGGGCAGGGAACTCCGGTTCCTTAAGAGCCAGATCCTGCCTATTTTAGATCCCTCCCTACTCCAAAACACCTGATTAAAATGATAAGCTCATCAGCAAGCTCTGTAGAGGCCTGAAATGATCATGAACAATTGAATCAGGTGTTTTGGAGTATCAAGGGATTTAAAACAAGTACGATATGGCTCTCGAGGAGCCGGTGTTCCCTACCCCTGCCTGAAATCAAACTTGAACTCTTTGTTCTTTAAAAGAAAACAAACAAAAAAAACTGTCATTGTTGTTGCTAATAATAATAGTACATCAATGCTAATCACAATCTAAATCTATTTATTCAAGATCTTAGCCCTAAATTAACAAAAGGAAAAAACAATACACGACGCTGCTACTGTAGATTGACTGAAGTGTTTCACAGAATGCCAACCAATGACTGTGAGCTAGGCAGGATGATTTCAAGTGTTTTGTGAGCACATGAGCATTTTTCCACACCACTTACAGTATCCTCATTAGGGCCGTGGATGAGCTGTTGCCGCTCTCAGTAGACTTAGTGATTTTCAGGCACTGGGTGCCAACCAATCGCAGCATTGTGAAAAATTAATAATCATTTATTTACTGTACCACCTTTGGAAGCAAGAATTATTCATATTAATCTTCATATTTTTATAGTTGGGAAATATTAATGTGTTATTTAGCATAAAAGGATGGTTCAGGTTAACATTAACATAACACTTAATTGTTCATTAACTTTTGAAAGGGTATTATTGTATCTACAGGGGGGCACGGCAACTATGTGTGATGGTTGAGTGTCTTGTCGTCCTCAGTTCATTCTGAACGTGCGCCTGGACTACCGTCTGTCCTTCCTGCTGTCCGTCTTCAAGAAAGAATTTGAGGATGTCTATTCGCTGGCTGATGCTGATGCCACGACCAGTGTAGAGCACACAGGTGTGCATGCCCACTCACCGAGGGAGGCAGAGGGCAGCGGGAGGTCTGGGGGTTGACAATGGCGGTTACAATCTCCAAGATAACAAATGTCTGTTCTTGCAGCTGCCATCAACCGACAGCACATTGGAGAGCAGGCCGAGGCGATGTTTGGAGTCGGGTGCGTCAGAGTGCTTGAAGTGTAATTGCGTAACTTGTGTCTCACTCTGAGCGTGTGTGTGTGTGTGTGTGTGTGTGTGTGTGTGTGTGTGTGCGTGTGCGTGTGCGTGCGTGCGTGCGTGTGCGCGTGTGCCTACAGGAAGGGGAACAGCATTCTTGAAGTGGACGACGAAGGCGGACGCATGTTCCTGCGTGTCCTGATCCACCTCACTATGCATGAGTACCCGCCGCTGGTGTCCGGAGCTCTACAGCTACTCTTCAGACATTTCAGCCAGAGGCAGGAAGTGCTGCACACTTTCAAGCAGGTAACCCACCCTGCCCCACATATTTTTTTCATGTGTTTAGGAAATAATGGGCTGGTCACTACCTGAGGCCCAAGACGCGGAGACGGAGGAGGAGAGAGGGGAAATGTGGGAGCATATCAGATTAGTGTGTGGCACAATTCTCCAAAGGATGCAAATTCATTTGTAAATTAGATGTCAAAACAATTTGGCGGAAATTGATGTCAAAAAGTGTACATTTCATTTAGGTTTATGTGTGTGTTTATATTGATGAATGAAGGAAAGAACAACAAAAAGGTTGCTTTTTTTCAGCCTGGCAAGCCATGACCACTAAGAAAGTGGGTCTGGAAAGCCTGCCCTGCAACGTGGCTGGGCCCCGGTTCAAAACGAGACGTCCCAATCAAATTTGTTTATTTTCTGTGACATATCCTTCGTGCACGTCACTCTTTGGAGGCGTAATTCTGTCCTCATTCAAAATAGCGCGCGGGTAAGACAGTGATTTGTTAATGGCATTCAGCATAAAATCACTATTAAATCACCACAAACACAGGCCAGATTGCACCAACAATGATTAACTTTGAAACGAGATTAAATCATGGTTTAAATTCAAATCTTGTTGCACCAAACCTAGTTTAAAAATAAAACTGATTAAATTTGGACCTCCCTTTAAATCTCGTTAAATTGTATTTTTAAAGTGAGTTTAAATTTAATTTAGTTGCACCAGAATAAACTGCGGTTGAAACTGTAATTGAGAATTAATTTTGGGAATGGTTTAACTTCAACAGTGGCTAAACTTTTTAGGTATATAGAGCAAAAATAATGAAGTTTCTCAAATACAATTGATAGATGGGCTCAATACTCTTGAATTTAAAGGTGAAGAGATTGGGTGAAGAATAATTGTTGGACCTTTTCCCGCTGACTCAGGGACATCATACGTACATTACGTTTGCTGGCAGTGATAAAACAATCGGAGATTATGTAATACATACACTATGTATGCTGGCAGCGATAAACCAGCCAGACTTGCAAAAGTCGGCCTATTTGCTCAACCACCTGGCAACGTGACTGACTCCGTCCGACAAAAACAAGAGGGAACCCGGCATGTTTGATGGCGAAATTGTTCTTGGTTTTGCTGTTTGGTGCTTTCTACTGTCTTTGTTACTGATTTGTTACTTTACTGTTGTATATGTTAGTTGCTCCATGTACAGCACTTTGTGTACAGCAATGGCTGTTTGAAAGTGCTCTATAAATACAGTTGAGTTGAGTTGAGAAATTGCCAAGCTGTTCAAGTTGGTGCAATACATAGCCTCGCGTAAAGATGTATACTGTGCTTCAAATTTGACATCACTTACGAGAAGATCCTTGGTGTTTCTGTTTTATGACAAGGTATCATCTCAGAATCTGCACAAGAACTACTGTCATTTTTCATACGACAATACGGTGCGCCTTTTGTGTGGGCTAAGTGCAGAAATAGACCCCGTAATTGAGCCTGCGCCGTGAAAGCGCTATATAAATCAGGATGTATTGTATTGTATTGTTAATCCGGTGTGCTTTTTAGTATGGAAAATACGATAACTGATCAAGTTCAGGAGTAACATTAGGCAAACATTTTTGCTAGCGATCAACACTGTAAGCCCACATCTCACTGAATGGCGAAGGTCCGAGAGTCTGTGTGTTAGCATTCCTCTCACTCATCAGGGCTCGCAAAATTTGATTGCGACAAAAGAAAAAAAATACGTTTGCGAGGGTCTGCCAAATATCTTTGCAACCTGAAATGAACCTTGGCGGAAAAACATTTTTCACTACATGTGTACACATTTGCAAACCAAACCTCCACTGCTCAGTGAGATCTGAGCTACAATGTTTCATTTAAAAAAAAAAAAAAAAAAGCACCCTTTGTCACGAGGGGCTTGACAGTGGTGTAGCAGTGTTGCCTCTAAATCCAAATGCATAATTCATGATAAATTCAATTTCAATATCCGTAATCACAATTATCCCTTTCAATCACATTGAACTCAGTTTAAATTAAGTTAAACTGAGTTTTACTAAACTGAGATTAATTTTACGTGTTCTGATGAATTTTAAAACCGGATTAACTCATTTTAAATTTGCTTTTACTAATCTCAGATGAGAACTAATATCAGATGGAAGTAAACCTTGTTTGTGCAAGACAGCATAATTAAAACTCCATCAGATGACTGCCTTATGGGAAGCATTTTTTCTTTTTTTTTTCCTTTTTTTTTTTGGGATGTTTTAGCCACTCTTTGCTGATTTCGCTTTGTATTTGCTCAGGGTTGTTCCACCTTGGAAATGTGCTTGATGAGACTCAAATCTCTGGCACAGGGATGAGTCTGGATTTTCAGGCTATATTTTGTTTTCTTCAGGGCTATAGGATGGGTCCATAAGCACCCCTCGGGATCCACGTGTGCATGTGATCTGAGTACCATCATAACCACTAAAGTCAAGGCTGATCTTTGTTTTTTTTGCCTGCATAGGTCCAGCTACTCATTTCGGCTCAGGATGTGGAGAACTACAAGGTGATCAAGTCAGACCTGGACCGTCTGAGAACATTGGTGGAAAAGTCTGAACTGTGGGTGGAGAAGAAGACGTCTGGAGGAGGAGACAGCAAGAAGGAAAAGAAAGACAAAAAAGACAAAGTGGAGGTAGCACAAAACTATCACCTTGTCCTGGATGTGCATGCTGGACCATAACCTGCAAATTTGACCACAACTCACTATTCCCTTTGGAGGAATTTTCAACACAAAAATATGCATTGAGAATTAAATTCATATTTGGATGAATGCAGTCATAGGTTATCCACTACAATATGAATGTTAAAACAATCAAACATTACATTTAAGCCTCATTAACTTTCATGAGGAATGAGGAGGGCGACAAAAATAATTATTTACAATTATTTGTTAAACATTTTTATTAAATAATTAGTTGTTACTTTTCACAATGATTTGTTATTTTTTTCATGAGCCCTCAACTGTCCAATGTTTATTCCATCCACACTCACACTCACACCTAGGGACAATTTGGAGTGGTCAATCAGCCTGCCATGCATGTTTTTGGAATGTGGGAGGAAACCGGGGTACCCGGAGAAAACCCACACAGGCCCGGGGAGAACATGCAAACTTCACAGAGGGAGGCCGGAGCCAGGATTGAACCCACGACCTCTGCACTGTGAGGTCGACGCCCTAACTACTGGAACACCGGGCCACACCTATGTTTATTCCAAAAGATAAAAAAAATACATATAATCATGCCATATATGGGCCACTGCTGACTTGAACATTCAGATGGGCTCCTAGGCAAGACCCTTCATACAATTATGTCAATTCCCAGAGCCTGCCACTCCCAAGCCTGGATAAAAATGGGTGTCTTGCGTCAGGAATGAAATCTGGCATCAAAACTGTGCCAAACATCATGCGACTGACTTGCTGTGGCGACCCCTGACAGGGAAAAGCCAAAAGTCACTTCTTCATGCAAAGCAATGTAACATTACACACATATAAAACACAAGACCCTTTCATCATAGTAGCAAGCCTTTGGAAGGTAATCCAGCGAGCTAGCTAACGTGCACAAAATGTGTTCACTTTGTGGCATCTTTTGTCAAACATCACAAACACATGGATTTAAATCAACATCAAGACCAAAGTCCTTTGGTCACAAAAAGCTGCTCGATAAGATGACAATACGAAATGTGATGAGGCTTCTCCAAAATTTTGGAAGATGTCTTTGCATGTATAATGAATGTACGACTTACTCCCATCCAGTATTGTTCGCTGTCTCCTCACAGGACTAACAAACATCTCTGACACATCTCCCTGATGTAACATTCAAGCACCTTTTGCAACAATTTCTAACAAATTAGGATCTGCTGCTTTGTATGCTGCTTACTCGGCTTCCTGTCTGTGTTGGGTGTGAGGTGGGGCCCCGCTGTGGTATCCCTGGTGAAGGTGCAGCTACATGTGCTGATTGATTGTTGTCATCTGCTGTCGTCTTTTATCCTGTGTGGAGATAAGGGTGAAATTGGTCTGTTTTTTGAACAATAATAATTATGATGGTGATGATGATGACGATTATAAACGGGCCCAGGCAGCTGGGAGGTCACTCTTGTTTTTGTAGAAATTATTATTAATATTATGATATTATTCTTTTGTTTTTATGAAGGCTCAAGCAGTGACTGCTGCAAGGTCCCTAGTATTTTGCAGAAATAATAATAATTATAACAGTAAGAATTATGACAATGATGATGATGATTATTATTATTTTCACAAAATGAATTCCATTTTTGGGCAACTCAACAGGCATGAAAACTCATCAAACTTTGCACATTCATCGGGCCTGTTGAAAAATATGACATTTTAAAGTAATCGTAAATGGCGCTGTAGCGTCACCTAGAGTAGAAAAATAAAAAACAATCCCGGCCTGGTTGACCTTAGAGCTGCGAAAATCGTCAGGCAGTCTCAGATGTACACAAAAGTTAATTGCAGCCATAGTCTAAAATAAACAGGAAGTGAGCTATGAATTTTTGACTGCCCAATTTTGGCCGATTTTTGCACATTTGCAAGGGTAATACTTTTGCACCCTGGTTCACGAGGGTTCATCCAGCTGCGAAAATCGTCAGGCAGTCTCAGATGTACACAAAAGTTAATTGCAGCCATAGTCTAAAATAAACAGGAAGTGAGCTATGAATTTTTGACTGCCCAATTTTGGCCGATTTTTGCACATTTGCAAGGGTAATACTTTTGCACCCTGGTTCACGAGGGTTCATCGCAGAGCACGGGGAGGGAGGGGTAGACGATACTGAAGCCCGCAGTAGCACTAAATCAAGTAAGTCCCGCTCGATACGACGAAATAGATGTATCCGCACCGCTATTTTCTGTCATTGGATCCAAAACGGCGACATGAGAGCGACTCTTTGTTGCAGTGAGTTTTATGGGAATTGCGAACATTTTTACATCCTATATTAGAGCATGGCATCCAAACAAAGAGGAGCGGTAATGGCCGCGGAAGAGAAAATGAAGTGTATCTCATTAAACGAAGCGGGTTACGAAGTACGAAACATTCAGGAGACGCTTGGAGTCTGGAAGACTCAAATCTACGAGACTTTGAAAAACGAGGAAGCGATTCTTGCTCAGTCCGATTCGGGCTATTTCCATGCTCAGAGTGAATTGCTTGCGGCTCGACGGACAGTCCAGTAAATGAACGTTTCCTGAAATGGCTTGACTGTTATCGTGCTAAAAACTTTCCGCAAACTGGACTGCTAATAAGAGAGAAAGCGAGTTCCATAACGCTAACTATGGGCATTGAAGACTTCGAAGCGTCCTGCGGCTGGCTTCAAAAGTTCGAAGCACGACATCAGCTGAGCAACGCTGTCTTGTGTGGTGATCGAGGGGAGGTCGAGTTCGAGACAGTGAGTGAGTGGAAAGAAAGCCACCAGGTCTTTTACTCGTCTCATTTTGGAGCAAATAGTCCTACCTTTGTTATATTTTCTCATATACTGTACCTGTACTGTATGCCGCAGTTTTTGGACAATATATTGTTGCACTTTGTTGCTTGTGTTGTCACCAATGTATGTTGTTAACATACCGTACTTGGACGTTCATAC